GAGAGAGAGAGAGAGAGAGAGAGAGAGAGTAGTAATTCGCACAGGCGATCCGTGCGACTCAATTGTATCTATTCATAAATCGTATTATTCATTTTTTTTTATGTAAAAATAGAAAGAACTAATATGTTATAGTCGTGATATAATATTCCGTAAGTAAATAATTTCTATAATTTTGAAAACGTGATTATTAACTTTCATAGTTTATGTTATTGCAACTCTATATTCATATAATACTTTACAACATTTATATAATACTTTACAATATTTACTTTATAACATTATTGTACTGTATATTATTAGGTGTACAACTTTGCTTCCGCCGTTTTCCTATAGATGGCTTTAGCGGTAAATGGTGGTCGAAATAAATAGATCATAGACGTCATACAATAAACTTGGGCATCTGTCAACATAACCCCATAGAAACATTAGTCGATTTGTGTCTGCATCATAAAGTTATTCTCGATTGAAAATGTCAGTTTACGAGCCAAATTCTCATCTGCGGGAGGTTTTAATTTTTTGCTTCAATATGAAGAAATCTGCGGCTGAGGCTCATCGAATGCTCTCAAATACTTATGGTGAGGCCGCTATTAGTGAAAGAACGTGTCGTGAGTGGTTTCAACGCTTCAAGAACGGTGATTTTGATGTCCAAGGTCATGCTGTGTATTTGGTGGGACCAGCTCGACATAGTGTATTATGAACTGTTAAAACCGATTGAAACAATCACAGGCGATCGGTATCGAACGCAATTGATGCGTTTGAGCCGAGCATTGAAAGACAAACGGCCGCAATACAACGAGAGACACGATAAAGTGATTTTGCAGCATGACAATGTTCGACCCCATGTTGCGAAAGTGGTCAAGACATACTTGGAAACGTTGAAATGGGAAGTCCTACCCCACCCGCCGTATTCTCCAGACGTTGCTCCCTCTGACTATCACTTGTTTCGATCAATGGCACACGGCCTGGCTGACCAGCACTTCCGGTCTTATGAAGAAGTAAAAAATTGGATCGATTCGTGGATAGCCTCAAAAGATGACCAGTTTTTTCGACGCGGGATTCGTACGCTACCCGAAAGATGGGAGAAAGTAGTGGCCAGCGATGGACAATACTTTGAATCATAAATGTATAACCAGTTTTTTACAATAAAGCCTCGAATTTCGGAAAAAAAACGGCGGAAGCAAAGTTGTACACCTAATATATTTACATTATTTTTATACTTTTGTTGCATTTTTGTTTATAATTAAAGAAAAGGTATTATTTGTATAGTGATATCAATGTAGACTAAGTTCGAGCATATACATAAGTGCGACATTTGTCACAGATATATTCATGAAGATATATTCATTAATTAAATAATAAAAGAACCTTTACTTGTCCAAATTACGAGTAGATTCATAAGCATAGTTTTAAGAAATTAACACAGATATTCAAGTTTGAGTTACTAAATAGATTTTAAATGCTTATACATCAATATGTTTACACATTCAAATTAGAAACTTATAAAAATAATGTTGAATCATTTTACTTTCTATATTTTTAATCCTTAAAAACACTTTCGGATACATATCCATGACTTTTTATGTTCAAGATTAAAATTTCTTTGTTTTTGAAAGGTGACTATCGTTTCTGGTCAGAACATAAGTTGTATGGTTTTATCTTTATGTTCCATAAAATTTTAGACGAGGATTTCAGGAAATATTAGGCATTGTATGTGTGCGCGTGCGCATGCGTATATACAATATAACCATTTATGCAATATAATTATCTATAATTATAATAAACATTTTTTATGTCAATGTTAATTCTAAAAATTTACATATTCGGTTTATTTTTTATGTTAAAATTTTTTTATGTTTAAATTTATTATTCAACAACAGAAAATATATGTTTTTTCCAAAATGAATTTCAAATTTTCTACATCTTCATCCTTTTAAATAATTCAGTTTTTTAAAAGATACAATAATGCAGTATTTTTTTCTGAAAGTTGTTTCTACTTTCCAAAATGCATATTTAAAATATATTTGTATGAAAAATAAAAATTTTTAAATAAAATGTGGTTTTTTTCGTAACTATTGTTTATTTTATAGCTTATAACTTTTTTATTAATAAGGATATGTACATTTGCTTGGTATCGTTATATTCTTTACTATCTGACATTTCGATTGAAAAAAAATTTGTTAAAATATGTTCATTTTTATGAATGTTCTGAATAATCAAAGTTGGCTTGGATGTGTCGTTCGAAATATGATGTTTATGTTATAAAAGAGGTCAAAGTGTTTTTAAGAGTTAATATTTTCACATAAAAAAGCGAAGACATATAAGTGACTCACATTGGATACACACATTTTGTTAAGGTGCCTAAAATGCTACTTTTCTTTTAAATCTCTACTGCATCTATGCACTCATAAATATATGAATATGATTCATATTATTTTTTAATGTTCAGAAATGTTTCCTCTTTCGAATGTGATCATTAATTTTTAATTTTAACTTCAGCAAAAAATTAGAAAAATTTTAAAAGTTTTAAGGGGCCATATTGGACTCGGTTACCTTATATAATATAAATATAATTTAATAAATATGATTTTATGAAGATATTGCTTTGCTCAGTTTCCCCTGTTTTTTCATTGTAGATTAGATTTCGTACAATTCAATATCAGGGGACCGGAAACGACGAATAATATATGTATTTACGACCAATTCATCGTTTCCGGTGGTAACCCGGTACCAACAATTTGCGGTAATAATGATGGAAATCACAGTAAGTACAAAAAAGTGTTATTTAGGTTGGGAATTAACTCGTCACTTATAATGAAATTACAACTGTATGTTAATTACACTTAGAATTATCTCACATTAGTAACTGTAATTTAACATACAAGAGAACCTCGCAAAATGATACATTCTAAAAAAACATTTTAATAAAACTTTTTATACATATAAGACACGTGAAAAGACGAATTTAAAAAATATCAGTTGCGGCATAAAAACGATTTTAAAGGATGAAATTACTTTATATGTTATATTAAAACGATTTTCAATATTTTTCATAATATATTAGAAACTATTTGAGATATAAAAATATATTTTATACAAAAATTTTATAATATTACCTCTGTTTATTTGTCAATAATACTTAAAAAAAAAATAATTTTCATTTAAAATAATTTTTAATTCAAAAAATTTATTTAATTATTATTTTTTAAAAACTTCCTTCCCGTCGAAAGTCAAACTGGGCAGAAAGGATATAAAATCGAGTTTTTAATATTATATATGATAGAAATAAGACATTTTTTGAAATTTATTTGTTAATAACTATTGAATGGACAGTGACCATCATATAAAATCTTTTGAAGATCGCTCAGAGTCAACATAGGGTTAAGATTTGCGGTGTCTGTCGATCCGAATAACTATCCAACAAACTTTCGATTAAAATACTCAGAAATTAAAATCGCAATTAAAAATTTAACACCTCTATTATATAATGTCAGTACTACTTTTCGATTACGACTACTAGTTCGAATAAAATAGATGCAGTCGAGGTGTTGAGACCGAATCTCTAAAAGAACTCTTCAGATTTTCAGATTTTTTTCAGTCACATGTATAAATGTATATATGTAAAGCCTTTTAAGTCGTCAAGCTGCTTCCAAAATGTCTTCATTTAAATAATTAGGGAATGAAAGTAATTCGTTACTTGTATCGAAGTTATAGTTACGAGTTATAGTTAATTTTTTTGGTAACGTACTGGTAACTGTATTACTATCTTTTTTTGTAACTGTAATGAATTTTACAGTTATTTTTACCGTTACTTTTTATATTTTAAATCTAATATATTTATGACGTAATTTTCGTTTATCTAATGTTCGGTCCCAGCAAACACAAAGTTATGTAACGTATCTGTTAGTTGTAATTTCCTCAACAATATAACACAAGCGTTATATTAAACGCGTTTACATGTAACTTTATGTTTGCTGGGACTGAACATTGGATGGTATTCACACAGCGCGACAAAAAATATCACTTTTTTCTCCTGAATGCGATAGTACATTTCCCGATGATTTTTTTCGCGCTGAACACGATATCGTTAACAGAATTTGACTAGCACGTCAAGATTTTAAGTAAATTGGAAAATTTTTGGTCACTTTTTTTGCGGTAAAAAGAAAACTGATTTTTAAATAAATTGTAGGGCATTTAAAAGTATATATATAATTCAAGAGTTTTTAATTCATGAATTTCATTTCATGATCGCACGACTCTTTTTCATCAAGTTATAGTTCGAATTTTAGAGTTTCTGAATATTTCATATGTTTACAATTTTAACCACACACACACACACACACACACACACACACACACACACACACACACACACACACACACACACACAGAGCCTCGCACGGAATGCAAAAGATCCGGTTCGATTCCCATCCAAGGCAATATTTTTCACAATAAGTTTAATTTATAGTTTTTTAAGATTAAATTTGAGAAATTTGGGGGAATTATTAATATTTCAGATTGTGTTAATTATGTTGAAAGTCCGATAATCATATCGGCACGCAATTATAATTTCTGAAATTAATTCATTTAAATGAATATATGGTATATAATAGTTCAACATCTTAACATTCAGACCGTAGTGACGCTTTGTATTTAAAGTGTGTGTGTATATATATATATATA